GCAATGGCAGCCCCGGGGCTCGCTGAGGGGGGCGCAGGCGGGTGCAGGTAATGGCAGCCCTTGCTCCCCGGCCTGCTCCGTTGCTCATCTCCAGCTCTGGGCTGCGGAGGGAGTTTGTGCCTCCGCACCCGGGAAGGGCAGCCCTGGCCAGAGCCCGGGCCCAGCACACACCAGAAGGGCCACGGGGACGGCTCATGGGCTTCGGGGCACCCGCAGCCCCTGAGCGCAGGTAGGCGCGTGGGGCAGAGGCCCGCGGGCCACGCACGCCGCAGAGGCCGACGCAGTCTCATGTCTCCCTGCCCTCTTGCCCAGGAGAGAGCAGGACTGCTCCGCCGTTTCCCACGCGCCTTCTTGCTTCCTGTTTATTCCCATCCATGCCTAAACCAGAGTCAGAGGTTTTAAACTGGGAAAAGGGTTTTCCCACACCAGCTGAGCTGTGCTTCATGTGCTGTATTCCGTGGCCTTGCAGGGAAGTACTCTGGAAGATGCAGGGGATTTTCTTTCCAAACAATTGCAATTTAGAGAGTGAAGTTGAGAGAAGGTTTGAATAAATCACTTATTTAGCAAAAAAAAGACGTGACAGCAGCCACAGTAGCTTTGAATTCCTGTCAAATTCAGTTTCAAGCACCTCTAAAAGGATTAACAATTTGGAAAACTCAAAGAAAAGAAATTAAAGAGGATTTTTTTTTTGTCCTTTTAAAACTTTCTTAGAACCACATATGTTTACATTAAATTTTTTAAATCTCACAGATATTTAAAAACTACAAAACCTTATGGTTACCAGGAAATTACTTTTTCCGGCTCTGTGAAAGAGAGTGTGAAAAGGTCTATCAGATAGGCTCAAAGCGTTTTTTCCCCAAGCCATTTACTCCAGTGAACTAAGAGATCATTGATTCACAGGGTTCAGAGACTGTTTGTACAGAACTGGAGAGTTTCCAGCCCTGACACTATGTGTTTTCATATCCATCAGCTATAGATCCAAGATCCTCTCATATAGATCTACTGAAGGCAGCGGCGTTACACCAGGCATAAATTCTCACTGATCTTCTGGATTGCAGCATAGCGTTTACATACCACATAGGTCAAGGCCCTGTGACTTGTCTCTATATTAGTAAAAAAAGTGATTCAAGTCTGTTTACCCTCAAAAATAGAGTTGTGAGTGAGGTTGGTGTTAGCTTAGTAACTAGGTCGTAACTTATTAATTGTACATAAAAGCACTCGCAGACTTCTGTTGGCCATGTTGTAAGCACTCATACAAAACGCCAACAGCTGTGGTTATAGTCGGTACCTTACTGCCTCTGCTCCAACGCGCGGCGTTGGTTGGAAGGGATCTCGGGGGGTCACTCATCCACCCTCCCATTCAGCGGAGCACCCTTGCCAGCACTAGCCAAGGTGCCCACGGAGGCGCTGGCTGGACTAGCACCAAGGTGTTGAAAATATTCAAGGACAGAGACTCCACCAACACCTCTGGCAGCCTGTCCCAGGGCTGCGCCAGCCTCTCGGTGAGGAATTTTTTCTTAATGTCCAGCCCTGAACCTCCCAACTTGTAATTTGTGGCTGTCATCCCTTGTTATATCCAAAGAGAGTCTGTCTCCATCATGTTCATAACTTACCTTCAGGTGGTTGCCGGCTCCCATGAAATCATCCCATCACCTCTTTGCGTGACTAAACAAGACCACCTCCCTCAACCTCTCCTCTTAGCTTGTGTGCTGTAGGGTCTCTCATCATCTTGGTAGCCTTCCACTGGACCATGTTCTCAACATCCTTCTTGAACTGGGAGGCTGGAAACTGAAGACAATACTCCAGGTGCTGCTTCACCAGTGGGGGATAATTACTTTCCTTAACCCGCTGGACGTACTTCTGATGTTGGCCAGCATGTGGCTTGCTTTATTTTCTAGGAGAGCTGACATTCCGCTTGACGTTTACGTAGCCCCCAGGTCCTTTGCAGCATGGTTGTTTATCAGCCAGCCAGTTCCCAGCCTGTACCAGTGCATGGGGGTTTTCTGCTCCACATGCAAAACTTGCTCCTTCTTCTTGCTGAACTTCCCAAAGCTTCTGTTGGCTCACTCTGAGTTTATCAAGGCCTCTCTGAATCGAAGTTGTACCAGCCAGGATGTCAACCTCGCTTTCTAATTTAGTATTGTCGGCGAAATAGCATGCCAGCCAATAGTAGCAACAAAATCTCTTAGAGCAATAAACATAGGACCTGTCTTGACAAATAACACTGATTTTAGTCACAAAATGGGGATCTGGGAAAATTATTTTAGCGCAGTAGAAAACTGCAAACAAATATAGAAATACAATGCTAAGAGAGAGTCAAATCCTTTGAGGGCATGAGCTGTACCTAGAATCAATCCAGAATCCATCCAATACAGTGAACACTACCTAAAACGAGCACAATCCCTCATCTGCCTTAATTAAGGATTCAAAGTGGTCCAAAAGTTCTACTGTTAGTAATTTTAGCCATTTCTGCAGACAATGTGAGAAATTTGGGACCCGTGAAAGTCAGTGGGAGAGCTTAATTGACTTTTGTGGAATTCTGATTCACTCAATAAATTTGATCATATCAGCTGCAATGGCAGTTCTTAAATTCCTTCAAGAACTTAAATTTCCGCATTGATAGATGACTTTGGAGGAGTCTTCATCTAGTCAAGTTTTCATTTCCACTGCTTGAAGATTTGATGCTAAGCCATTCCCATTCCAAAGCCTAGCCAATCCCATTGATGATGCCCGGTCTTTGTTGACGGTACAGTCAACAAAAATGTTGGCATTAATTTAGGGTTTATGAAATGTTTCAGGACAGCTCAACATGGAAGTCTTTATAAGCGAAGTAGTGACAAATTTGAAAAAAAAATATATATGCTGTCTTTGTGAAGATTAATAGCCAGAGTTGGCTAGTTACTTTTGATTTTTTGCGGTCCCACACTGGAGCTTCAGCGTGACATTCAGCTACACTGCAATGGCACCCATTTTAAGACTGTTGTCATACGGGAACAAATCTGTTGAATTATTTAGCGTGAGATCAAAACAAGGCTTTGTATATTCATTAACACACCATCAGCTAAAGCTCTACACTGCATATTGAACAAAGCTATGACTGAAATCCACAGTAAGTTGTTGGTATATACAGCATGGAAATCCAGTATTATAACAGTTCCTATTTGTCCTACTATGGCAAATAAGAATTAAATCGATTCAAGATGAGAGGACAGTAGCCTAAAATGTTTCTATGAGTAATACTGTCACCGTAAGCTCCTGTTCATATTACATCTGCCTCTGTGGAGACTAAACGCATGTTTACATTTACATGTGAGCAGTCCACTAGTTCAAAAGTCTTTATAGAATTTGTATCTACAGCACGATTAAACCCATTTTCAAGGCATATTTTAGAATTTTTACAAATTACAGATCCAATTGTTTTGCTATCGCTGTGTGTTCTTCAAACTCCTCACAATGTGGGAGACAGCACAGAAATATATTTTAGTTAGATATTCGTCATAGTTACTACTGAAAGTAGCGATAGGGGTGTCTTCAACTAAGAGTCTAGCAGCCTCCTAGGAGTTATGGTGTAGTAAACTTCGCAAGACGTGGTGTGTTGCTGTAGACTGAGGGATACAGGGAGTGACCTGACTGTCAGGACCAAGGTGAGAAGTCAGGTGTCCTCAGACCCGTGTGTAGGTGAGGAGTTTCTCTCTCCTTTTTAATGTCTCATTTCTCTTCCAGAGAAGAAATGCCAGCCTGGCAGTAACCCACATCAGCTCCAGTTTGCCCCATTTCTGCCGTAAGACACAGCGTGTCCGTCGCATGATCGCAATCAGCTACTCTGCACTGGTAGGGTTTTGTCAAGCAGTTTTCTTCACTCTGACTCAGGTAAAACTCCACAGATGTCACTGGGAAGTACAACATGAAGGTTGAGTAGCGTTACCAGATGCCTGCAGACCTTCCAGAGGAAACACACCTGGTTTTGTCTGCTTTGGAGGTAAACCAGCCCAGGAGATAGCTCTGTGGGCTGAGGACCACACAGACTCCTTGGTAGCGTATACACAAATTGGGGAACTGCGGTTTAACTGCTCTGTGGAAACCACAGTAAGCTCCACTGTTGCTGACAGTCAGGAATTTAAAATAAAATGCTGGCCGTTAGTAATGAAGCTGTTGCAAAATAAAAAATATTTTACTTATTTGAAGGTTAAACGTTTGCCGTTTCTAACAGCAGTAAATGTTTTCGCCTAGAGCTTCCCAGCTGGCTTCCTCTTCTACTCTGACTCACTCTGTTTTGTCACACTTGAGAAGTACTTAAGCCTAAAAAAGTCTTTGAAGTTATTTGTCAACTGTCTTGCAAACACAGTTTAAAAGGTACTCCCAAGATGTGATTGTCTTTTCAGCCACAGCTATCAAGCCAGACATTCTGTCAACCAGGGAAACCCCCGTGGAGTTTTTTATCCTAAGAAAACGTGATCAGCTTCAAAGAGTAGCAGGCTGCTATCTGGTACCAAAATGTCACTAAGGAGGACTTTGAAATCTCTTCTTCATGAATAGTCCCTATGGTTTCAATGTAAGTTTTTGCCAAATAAGAACCTATACCCTGTATGAAAAAGAGTGATAAAAGTTCTGTTCTGTATAAATGCACACTGTATTTTAGCGTAAAGTTTAAATGCCCGTAATTTTATTACCTAGTGCTTCATATTCAGGATTATGGTCTTTCTGCTTGGAAGTTTAAAATTCTGGAATATAAACAGAGAGAAAAGATTGAGTTGAAAGTTGATGCCTGCCTCGCTGGATGAACAGCTTCTGGACAGACAAACCCACGTTACTGCGCATGCAGCAAATGTGATGTTAAAAGATTCTGCCTGGCTACAGTTCCACTTGTGACTGTGAGCAGGGCTGGATTAAAACTATGTAAGGTTGACATTTCCAGGTCAAGGCACAGGCATGAACAAATGTGCTGTGCACGCTGTGGATGGAGGATCCTGTCCCAGAACGCTCTTCGACCTTCCATTGCAGCACACATCTTTGTTGGTCACCAGTGTAGACCAGAGCCAAAATCAGAGCAGGAAACTTTCCTACCAAAACCACATGATCCTCAGATACTTAGACACGTGTGTGTGTACCAGCAAGTCTGAATTTGGCTCTGTGGGTATTTGTTAGCAGTTATCATGGATTTCAGTCTTCCTTGGTGTTTGAAGCACCGGACTGCGTCTTACACAGCAAAGGTGGCAGGGGCAGTGATGTGCAACCAGCTCTGATTCTACCCCTGAGCATCTCCCACGCCAGAGGACAGGGGTTTGTGGTAGAGCTTTTCTTCAAACATCTCTGAACCTCAAGCATCGAGGTGACGTTTCAGCCCAGGAGACAGGACTAGCTCTAGTTTGAAGTACATCTCCTAAACCATGTAGAGTTATGGGGCTCTCAACACCAACTGCTTTAATAACCTGACCCCCTCCTATTGTGCTTCATTGCTTGATAATGTAGACGTAGCCTTTGAAAGATGTCAGTGTTTGAACACTTATTAATACATGGAAGCAATGATAACATTTGTCTTTCAAAACAGCAGTGTTTAGTTTCAAAATGAAATAATATTAAAAAACTAAGAGAAAAAGGTAGCTGAACAGTTAGACAGTAAAAAATCACTATGTTAAAATGTGAGCACATTTAATTTAAATAACCTGAAAATCTGTTTAATAAAATATTATAAATATTATAAACATAGTAATATTAATACCATTACTATAATATTATGCAATATTGTATTTAAACAAATTGCTTAGTTTTATTCAAATGAAAGACGAGACACATAAAAAGGTCATGAACATGAATATATCGGACTAGCTAAGAATTACCAAAGCCTCGTAACTGAAGCAAAATATTCAGTAGAAAAGATCTAAAAGACATTTCTCTCTGGTACACGGTTGCACAAAAAGGAAGAGGGAGCGAAGGCACAAATGAGATTCACAAATCTGCCTTTGTTGCAGCAAAACTGAGCTAGTGCAGGAATCCAGGACAGACCCAGCAAGTCTCTTCATTTGGAAAAATTTAAAACAAGATCATGAAAAAAAAAATTACTAAGAATGAGAAAGCAGGGGGAGGGGAGTAGAATAAAAAAGAAGCAAGGAGCAGAAGTGAGATGCAACAAGCTTAATCAAAGCCTCTGTCTGAAAACCCAGTGTTTTTCAAACAGTATGGTGTTGATCACAGTCAAATTTGCATCTAAAAAGTGAGAATAATGTTTTCAAAAGCAGCTACTCCTCTAGCGCCTCAGGTGCAATTTTCAGTGCCAGTAATTTTTATCGTTTAGAAGTCAAATGGAAATGCTGAAAAGTGTTGGCTTGGAGCCAGCTAAGGACTTTTTTTTTCCCCCTTCTCACTGATATAAAAACAAACTTCTAGTGCCAGAGAAGAGTTCCAGACAATCAAAAAACAAACATCCCATTTCATTCACAGATAATTGTAAAAAAAGCAAAAGAAAACAAAGTCTAGCTTCACAAAGTTGTCACTGAGACTCTTCCCTTTTAACAGTATTCAGTGTGGTTTAGATACTCCCTTAGGATCTGAGAGCCCTAGAAACAAATCCTATCTCTACCTCTTAGGATCACACCTTAGGAAAGATGTGATTCATCAGTTCGAGTTAGCACTAGGAATAAGGAACTCTTCGACTCTGATTTTAAATTATCCACCAGTCCTACCTCATTTTTTTCACCAATTCCCTCCTTTAAAAAGACGATAACACTTGTTTATCCCGCAAATGTGCTGGAAGGATGCGTGGGAAGAATTCTGGGAATGAAAACTGTAGGGTGAGTGCTAAGTATTATTCATTTGGAAAAGAACGTGCTACAATTATTCTAGAAATATGGCAAAGACTGATCATTTAGTTAGATTGTTGAACATGAAGACAGGAAATACCATGCCTACCAGCCTGATCCACCACCTCCTCACTGGATCATGGGCTGTCACCTCCCTCCCCTGTCACTCCTACTTACATTCTCCTCCCTGGGCTGGCCAGGCAAATGATCACTACTATGTATTTCTTGTGGTATCACAGCACTCAGGAAAAAATCATGGACCCTCCTAGACAAGGTACCAACACAGCTTTTGCCCCACTTGTTGAGGCAAAGCTCATCTCTTCCTAGCAGTTCTTAGTCCTCAAAGAGGGGACATCCCATACTCATAAAAGCCAACTCCCCATTTTCAGCACCAGCTGTGCAAGCAATAGTTGACCAACAGGATCCATCCGTTCCTCCGGCCCTACCCCCTCACCAGTAGCACTGAGGAGAAACCCCCTGGGCACCTATGTCTGACTCGCCCTACAGCAACGCACTTGTGCTTGATATGCTCCACGTCTTGCTCCTGACCACGTGGAAGAGCAGCAGGGAGTCAAAGTCTGAGGCCCAGCTAAGACTCAGCACGCTCTCCACATCGTCCCAGATCTCAGCCCCCCAACAAACCTCCCCAGAGAGCATGTTGGGGCAGCAAATGGGAGCTTCCATCTCCTTCAGCAGGGAGCCTCCAACCACTGTCGCTCTTCACTTCCTCCTGCGCGGTTCAGGCTCGGTCAGCTCGGGTGCTTTGCTGGAGAGAGCTCCCAGCCTCTTGTCTGCTGCCAGAGCACTGAAGCTGTCCTGTAGCTGGGAAAGTCCCTCCTGTCTCTGCTACCTCCTCCCATCATCCATGACCCTTCAAAGCTATCTTTTGTTCTGGTTTTATACAGTGCCTGGAAGGATCCACATTTGTTTCCTACATGGTGTGATAATCATAGAATCGTTAAGGTTGGAAAAGACCCTTAGGATCATCAAGTCCAACCGTTAACCTGTCACTACCAAGTCCACCACTAAACCATGTCCTCAAGCACCACATCTATGCCTCTTTTAAATACCTCCAGGGATGGGGACTCAACCACTTCCCTGGGCAGCCTGTTCCAGTGCCTGACTACCCTTTCGGTGAAGAAGTTTTTTCTAATATCCAACCTAAACCTCCCCTGGCGCAGCTTGAGGCCGTTTCCTCTCGTCCTATCACTCGTTACCAGGGAGAAGAGGCCGACCCCCACCTCGCTACAACCTCCTTTCAGGCAGTTGTAGAGAGCAATAAGGTCTCCCATGAGCCTCCTTTTCCCCAGGCTAAACAACCCCTCAGCCGCTCCTGGTAATAATACAGAACAAAACAATACAAAACATTTGCTATTACCTCTCTGTAATAATGGTTAAGGGTAAGAGTGAAGTGACAGGTCATTTCAGGTTCCGTGCTGCCTCTGTGGTTCTTTGACACTGGTAACTCTTATATATAGAGAGACATACATAGAGAGGCTTATTTATGTTAAACTTTTATTAAATCAAGCTAGATATCGAATCACAAACTCGTGGCTTCTGAACTGCTCAGTTTAATGAACAGACTCAGCCTAAGGCATTTTAAGGGGTCTCTTCAATTACATTACAATCTTCTGCTGGAACTTAGAATCACTTTGCAACAGAGAAGCCTATGGAAATGTCAAGTTTCACAGTAGCACGTTTTTGTCAGCAAGAACATTTTGTAATCTTTGGATTGTGACATCTTCATCACTGCCTGAAACATGGATCAGATTTGGCCACTACAACATCTGATTAAAAAGCAGCATGAGGATATGAATAAAACAACAACAAACAAAGAAGAAATAGCTCCCTATCCAAGCAGAACTTTCTTCAAAATCTTAGAAATACAGATCTACATTTCCAAAGGCAGCTAGTCATTTTGATGTTTGATTTGACACATCAAGACAGGCTCAGGTCTTCACAGCACTAAAGTTCAGCAATCTGTAAAAAAACAAGATCTGCTCTAAGGATGGAGGAGATACCACACAGCGAGCCCCCCAAACCCCTCGTCACTTTTAGGGCAAGGCAGTGAAAGGGAGAAGCAAAAATAAATGCATTAACTTCAGTAAATTCAGCAACATGGGTATGTATTTTTTTTCTTTTTCTCTCTTCTACTTATTTCTCCTGCATCTTTTCCCTTCATTTCTTACAGTTTCTATCTCTGCATTGTTGAACTGTGTTCTCCTCTCTCCAGTTCCCTTCAGGAATTCCTGACCTTCTGTTCTATGTCTCCTCTTTATTCCCCCTGTCTGTGCTTCTTCCTTTTCCCTTTGCTGGTGCCTTTCCTGCTGGCACTGAACACAGCAGGCTCATCTTCTCTTTAGAAACCCCTCTTCTTTTTTGTCCATTTCCACAGCCTGTACCGACTCCATCTCCCAATTAGTATATTACCGCCTCATTTCTTCCCCAGATCCTTACACAGAAGAGGGTGTGTGAATGGAAATGGTTGGTGACTGTAGGAGCTGAAGCCAGACTGCTTCCAGTTTTTCTCCTGCCTTGCATTTCTTCTGCCACCCCTCCTCTCATGATACCTGCCTATTCCGCTGCGAAACAGGCAGTACAGCTAGCGAGGAGAGCACCACTTGTCTCTAGCAGCAGTCCCTGGGAATGAAGGTACATCTAAATTCCCAAAGGAAAACCAACAGATCCCATAAATTTCAGCACCTAAATCAATCTGAATAAACTGCTTTGGTTCATAGCTGTTCTTTCTTCAAGGATCTTAACAGGAAATGGAAGAGATCAGGGTCTTTGAGAACTCTGTGTGCCTTCACTAGAAGCCTCAGGTACATGAGTTTTAAAATTATGCCAACATCTCAAAACTCCGAGGCATTCTTTGGTTGTATTTTCTATGGCGTGGCTAAAATTTTCTCGGTTTAAGTACATTACCAGAAGTGACTGCAGTTAATACCTGGGATAGATTAGGCTTGCTCTATAACCACAATATTCCTACAAGTAGTAACTCTAGAGTAAAGGCAGCATGGCAGAAGGCTGTACTGGTTAAACGCTTCTTATACTAGCAATAACTTAATTCATGGTGCTGTTGTAACTAAGATGCCACTGTCTCCAGAGCTTACAAGATCAGGATAGGAAGAAAGAGGTGCTAGTCATACAGCTAGCTGTATTTTTAAACCACTAGCCCCTGAGAAAGAAATACATGCCCCCGAGCACCAGCTGACTATTGCAGGCAAATGCTAACATGCCTGAAATGATACCTAGATCCATCTTTTCAGGAGGTGTGTTGGAGGAGGGCTTTTCCAAACACTTGAATTTGTTAAGGTTGGATGTTAAGAAAGGCAAGTAAGGTTCGTTATGTAACACAAAACCTACACTCACCACCTATCAGTAGGAAACAATTCCACACGCTTACAAAAGGTTTCAGAATATGAAATAAGGTGACTCAACATAGCAGTCCTAAACAGGTTTCTTATACAAAGATTTCAAGTCTGTTGGCTACTTACTAAAGGAAGAGGTGGGTTAGCTCTGCAGAAAGATGCCCAGAGGTGATTATTATAAGACCTTATAGGTAATCTGCAGTCCTGTGAGATGTCTATGAATTACAAAATAATATTACCCTGCAATTTTAAAATGAGGTGTTATAGTGGAATTTTCTTATTATTGACTCTTACTTTTCATTCCTGCATGCCTTGAGTAGAATTGAGGCTGTAAAAGGAAACCGTTCCTGTTCTGTGACAATGGTTTCAGGCTTCCAATGGAGAAACTCTTTTTCACACTCCAAATTCCTTCCAGAGCCACTGTTAATAATTTGTGAAAATAATACCATTATAACTGATTACTTCAACTTGTTCTAGAATTAATGTAACTTTTAAAAGACAGTCTCTTTGGTCTACACAGTAATTAGCAGTTAAGCAGAACACTATAATCTTCCTCCATAGTTAATGAAAAGAGATTGATGTCTTCAGAGAGCAATTCAGATTGCTAAAGGTATATGATGCTCCCTACTGTCTGTAGAACAGCTTACGACTACCAGGCTCCTAACTGAAGCAGGATGCAGCTGATCTATAACGTATAAGGAACAGCAATACCACCGATGCATCCAGCATGATTTATTGGTCATACTGGAATATCAAATGCCCTCATAAAAAGACAACAGAACAACAACAAAACACCACCCCCCAAAAAAAACCCAACAAAAAAGCAAAACAAAACCAACACCAACAAAACAAACCAAAACAAGCTAATTTATTTTGTGGAAAGGTTACAATTTACTAACCATCTAATTTATGTAGAGCAATAAACTTACTAATAATCTAAGCTGTGTAAATCAGTAACCATCCAACCTGACAACTGTTGTTTATCAGAGCCCAGGCCACTTAGGGAGCATCTCTAATTCTCCGGGTGTATACAGATGAAAAAGGAACTAGGTACTTGCCAAATAACCTGTACACCAGCATCTATTTGACCTTATGATACATAGCATTGTTATGCTATGCATGCAACATATTATGCTATACATACCATTTATACATTGAGCTTGTTATACATCCATATTATACATTCCTGTAATGAATTTTTTGGTAGTGTTTCTATATTGTCTTTAGTACTTTAAGCCTTTGTAACACACATTTCAGTGGGGGACTCTGCAAAAGTCATGAGAACATACATGGTAGCATCCATTCACACAATCAAACTTAAATACTCTAGACAATTTTGATCCATTGGCAGATGAACGCAGTGAAATATAGTTGGGTTCAGCTCTTGGTAACATTAGACACATGGGCAGATTGAGCAGACCAATGTTAACATCTGCAATTCAGCCACTTGTCCAGAAGCCCTTTACAGTCAATGGGAAAAGAACGGGCACTTTTAGAGCACGACACATGCAACGGTAGGTATCTAGGGCAAGTCAGAAGAATTGTGTTTTCAAAGTGCCTTTTTCTCTCCATTTACTATAAACAGAGCCTACGTAAGTCATTCATTTGCAGGTGCATGCTGTAATTGCCTAAGGAGTCTAATCACAGTAATGGAGTTGCAGGTTCAAATGGTCTTTACATCTAACAGGATATTGATTACATCACCTAACTTAGGTACATTTTTGTCTGTGAATCCAACTGTTTTAAATTTATTTTGAGTGAGTTTAGACTTGGGTCTCAATCCTACATAAGAGAAACCAGACAAATTTGGAAAATTTTCCAAATTTGGAAACAAAGGCAAAAATGCCCTTATTACGTTTGTGGAGGGTGTAATGATTAGGAGATCTGGTGGTGGGCTTATTCCAACAAAATGCAGCTTAATATAACCAAGAAATAGCTTTACTCTACGGAAGAGAATGTGGGGCTGCAGAATGGGAACCGTGTATTGTGGAGCAAAACCATCACGTATTTAGGAGTAACAGCTGACAAACAGTTCAAGGTCCTAGTGCTAACGTTAGCTCTAATGTAGCTCTAAAATAAGTAGAAGATTCTCTCTCTCTACAGGCTACTAGTGATACAAATACTGAAATACCATGATCAGATTTGGTATTCACATTTTAAAAGAGGAGGCAAAACAACTGGTGAGAGCACATAAAGAGCCAAAACCAAATATATGTGTATCTACCTTCTCTGGAAGAAAATCCTGGATACTAAAAAAGGCACTATTATATATCCAAGAAAAGAAAGGAGATGAATCATGCAAATCCAAATTATTAATCAGGCTTTTTCTTTTTTTTTTAAATACACCAACCACTAAAACAAACTAATGAGTGAAGCTGTGGAATAACGAGCTTTACTCAGTGGACTCTACAGAGAGGTACCTAATAAAATCCAACGGCTTGGCTGATAAAGGCAATAAGACCTTGTAGTCAACCAGATAAGATGACCTATCCTTTAACATTACAAACTCCTGGAAATCAGTTTTCTACAATTAGATGAATAGATCTCATGGCTGCAAGAGACCGCCAGCATGATGTAAGTTTTGTCTTACACGGGCCACATGGCTTCAGGCCCATTCCTGCACCAAGACTAGCAAATGAGCTTGGACCAGGGCTGACTGTTTAAGTGCAAAATATTTAAAGTGTGTATTAAAAATGGTGAATCTAAGTGATCTCTGTTAAATTGTTCCAGCATTAAGTTCTCTTTTTGTTAAAAACTGCTAATTATTTCTATTCTGATCTTGTCTCATTTTTACCTCCAGTTCTCAGAACTTTTAAGTTTAGCCAGACCGAACACCTCCCTCTTGGACTTCCATTTCTTCATCTGCCTACTGTAATCAAGTCTCTCCATAACCTTTAAGCTGCCTAAACAGACTGATTTTCTAACCGTTTTCACTGTTTTCCTGTCCTTTATTTACCGTTATCATTCTTACCTCAACTTGTTCTTTTCAACACCAATTTCAGTTTTGAACAGCAGAAGGGGACAAGGTATTCTAATAACTACAGCGCTTCTTTCAAAGAAAAAGGTAAGAAAACCTCCCAACTGCTTGCCATTTGTTTCTGTTTTATTAAACTGATACATCATATGGAATCATCCATGTTCTTTATGGTCCCGTAATTTCAGATTAAAAAAAAAAAAGTAATAAAGACTAAGTGCGATTCTTCTGGTTTTAAATGTTCCCCAGGATATTACATAAATGTTCTTCGCTGTTTTTTTAAAATAATAATTTTGCCACAGTTCCTCAAAACAATTTAACTTTCATTTGCCCTGACAAACACTTGGCATTTGCCGATAAGGAGGATTACCTGCAGCTGGATGTTTAACGTGGCGTGCTTCTTGCCGAAAATAAAGCTCTTCTTCAAGTATTTCTTTAACTCTCCTAGATGGCTCAACATACGCAAATTTCTTCCCTGTTAGTAAAACATATTACAAAAGAACCGGTTATTTTAAATCCCCTGAATGCTAATGTGCTTTGCCGAATGTCGTGTCATTTTATGCTGCTCTACTTCTGATGCACTGTAAGACAAATCATTTACAAATGTACGATGGCGTTCAGCCAGGCCCTGCTCCCCACCGTCGAGCGATCCCTCACGACAGGCCCGTGGGGGGCCCCCAAGTCTTTTAGACTTGGGGAGCGCGGGTGGGCTGTGGCGCGGCGTGGGGGCTCGCCCGTGCAGGAGCCAAGGCCACCCCAGGGCACCGGAGGAGACACGGCCAACAACCCAAGGCAGGGGTGCGCATGGAGGAGGCCTCCAAGGAGTGGAAGAGGGATGAGGGCACCTCATGGCGGCAGGGGAGGCCCTGCCTGACGGGGCTGCTACCCGCACCCCTGCCGCGGTGGGGTGCGCGGTGCCACCAAGCGAGGTGGGGGAAAGGCTCCGGGCAGGGGCCGGGGTGGGGAAGGGGAACGGAGGCCGCAAGGGGCGGTGAGGCGGGACCCGCC